GGAGATACTTCTAAGTTAACTCCAAACCCTCTGTAAAAAAGTTCACAATGTGCCCAAAAAATAACAGAGTAAGACTTACAAAGTACCACGGGGCAGAGAGGTAAGTTAGTAACTTACCCTAAAAAGGGTGTAACAAGCTGGAGCAACTCAGAGCCAGAGACCAACTCCTGGTTGAAGAGAGCGATGCAACGAAGAAAATTTTCATAGACCTCCTGACTCTTGAGCACCCTGCGCACCTGCAGCAGTTGGAGAGATGATCACAACACCTGAATGCCACTTCTATTTAGAAAATTCATCATGATCAGTCTATTCATCTTCCAAACCCACCTATTTTAATTTTTGTCAGTCTTTCTCTACCACTTGAAAAGTCAAGGGAATGTCTTAAATGCTGACACACAAATTGTACAGAAAACCAACAAATTAACAACCATGTAAAAGGCTGAAGACAAGTCCAGAGAATGTGACAAAAGGACAAATACTGACCTTGTCAAAGAAGGAAAATTCTTGCAATGTCCCATATTTCCCCACTGTTGCAACTGACAGATCTTTGGTACCTCGCAGCTTCATTTTCTTCTGTTAAAAGAACAAGCAGTTATATTTAAAATGTTGTGACTTAAATGCCATCAAATTCCACTCTGTTGACACAGAACAGCTCCCTGCAAAGGCTGAGAACCTGTGTTTCCCCAGCAGTGATCTGGCATTGCTGTGTCACATCCTCATAGCAATCTCTGTCAAATGTCTCCCAGCCAAGAAGAAACAACAAAAAAAGATAATCACTTGAGATTCTGCATAGAAGCAAGAAATTGTCCCCTTCCAGAGCCAATACTTAGTACAGAAGTTTGTGATATTTAATATCAAACATATTACCACACACATTTAAGCATGCATTAAAAATTCCCCTTTTCTACAGCAATTAAAATACTCAAAATTTTGTTTCTCATACACCTACATACATCAAAGACACTACTCATTACACCTTTATCTCAGCAATTACTAAGCACAAGTAATATGAGTTTATTCTAAGTTTTCACTTGCTGAAAGATACCTTTGCTGGGCCAGAAACAGGACGCAGCAGCAGCGGCCTGGATCGCTTCTTGCTGTGCTCCAGATTCTTCTCATGCTCTGTTTTCTGAACACTGTTCACTTCACATGGTCCATTTCCTGTGAACTGAAGTAAATAAATAATGATTTCAACATTCTCCTCTCAAATAAAGAGTCCTAACAGGACACAGAGCATGTGGTTAAGTCACCTGTTCTGAGAAAATCCAAACAATGAAGAGGAGCAATGTTCATTACTGGCTGTATGATTTTTCCATGATTTGCATATTCTACATGCAGACAGAGCATTCAATATCCTGCTCTGCTCTCAGCACGTACCAAAGACCTTTTTGCCTCTGGGAGGAACTGTCCAAACTCTGAGAGCAGATCCTCCTGGCCCCGGAACAGATTGGCCACTTCAGTGAACACCTCCTCTTCTGACATGCCCCGGAAGGGTCGGCCCTTGGTGTTCAGCTGCTCTTTCTGAAAAGATACACACAGATGTTCAACAGAGTCAAAAGATCCCTCACTCTGCCAGAAAACTCACCCTGAGCCAAAAACACGAATGCCACACAACAGAAAGGACTCCGAGGCAGCGCCAGGTTCTTACACACACACAGGATCACAAAATCAACTAAAGGTGAGCAAAGACAGGTCTGGCTACAACCTCTTTACACCCCACAAAGTCCCACGGTTTTTACACTTTTTGTCATTTCCTGTGAATATCTATGAAGACAAGTCCTTGGGAACTCTAAGTCTGTTCAACAGGCAGAGATTAAATTTGACAACCACAACTCCAACAGCTCCAGTGCCAACCCACTGTCTCTTCCACAGAAGACTTTTTACCTGGTAAGTGTGAAGAATTTCTAGAAAGGATCTGTAAATCTCTGGATGGTCAAGGAAACGTGTTTTGATCTTATTCACATAACTGATGGCATTATTGAACTCCACGGAATCAGATTCCAAGGGAATTTGGGATTTATCTTCTTTGTAGGGAAGCTGCTGCCGAAACTCCTCAGAGCAGTCGCTGTGGTTGTGGGAGTTCTCCTGGGAGTAGTGCAAGACCAGCCCACTGCCAGGGAGTGCACTGGGAACAGGCTCTGGGGGCACCTGGGGGCACAGGACACATGAGATGGGTTGGAAAAAGATCAGGGACCAGCTCAACAACAGCCCAGCAGCAGTGCTGGCAAATCTCCAGCTGAAAAATATTGTCACGTGAAGGAGAAAGAAAAAGGATTTCAGCCACCAATCAATTTCCCTACCTGGTTTATTAACTCCATCAGTTAAAATAATGCCTGAAGTTCTCCCTGGTGTAGGAACCACCTGATTTGTGGCTGTCACAGCCTTATTGGCCTCAACTGAGAAGCTACACCAAACACCACTGCAGGTTCTGCTACACTGGTTATTGCAGAGGAGCTGCCAGTTTTAAGGGGCATATTAAACATATGGCCCTTACAGGTGTTAATTCCTAAGCAACACAGAGATCTGAGGGAGCTGAGATTTAAAAGGTAGTTCCTGCTGCTAACTAGAGTTACACCACAAGTTTACCAGCAGAATTCAGTTTATGGCTCTATTTCAGCTCCACAACCACACAGTAATAACAAAAATCAAGCAGGGGCGACAAACATCTGCATCCCAGCAAGTGGGTCTCACACCAACAGTACCTGATGGGGATTCCATATTCTTAAAGACCTTTCCCAATGTCAATAATTCAATGCTTTCACAGTTCTTTTGCCTGTTTCCTAAACAAGTTTCCTGGTTTCTCAGTGGAAGACTGGAAGTGCAATTCTTCCAGGATCACCCCTTGAAATCTGCCACTACCAACAACCCATACTGGGAACAATGTCAAGCCAATTCCAGTTTCAGTTTCCAAACACAACTGAAATATTTGGTGTTGAAATGGTGTTTCCATGCAGAGTCATCATTCCTGTGTAAGTCAAACTACCTGGTTTGAGAATAAATTGGAGGTTGGAACTAGGTGATTTTTAAGGCCCCTTGCAATCCAAAGCACTCTATGATTCTTTGAATAAACATTTACATTTATATTACACCCATTATAATGGGCTTGAAAAACATCAGCAACATGCACTATACATAAATCTCCACAGCCTAAACTGTGTAGACATGTCCAGTGACACATGGAACAGTTTATTTAGAGAATAAGAGTTCTGTGACCTACCTGACTATTCAGAGGTGACTGTATACTTAATTTCCCATTCTTTGGAATTTCTATCCTGTAGCCCAGAGGAAGAAATGCATTGAATCCTACAATGAGGTCAGGATGCTCATGGAAAAGCTGAGAAACACGTCGGATGACTCCAGGTGTGTCAATGCTAAAATTGAGAGGGGTTTGTTACTTTTACCCAAATCAGAAACACAAGTTAAGCCCAGAAACTGCCAAGAGAAATGTGAAGTATCTGGTAAATTAGGGATGCAATTCTTTAAAAAAAAAATTAGCCCAACTAGAGGAAATGACCACTGCAGCTTCACCCTGGGAGTGTTATCCATGGGGAGGAGAGATGAGTGTGCAGGTTGGCAAAGGGACAGGACAGACAGCCAGCACCTCCAGGGCTGGCAGGTCACAGGAATGATGGGGTGAAGGCTGGGGGGCTCTGCACAGGCAGAGAGACCCCACAAAGGCTGAAACCTCAGAGAAAGGCTGGAGCTGTGCCAGGGTTTGGCATGGAGCTCAGGGAAAGGTTCTTCCCCCCGAGGGTGCTGGCACTGCCCAGGCTCCCCAGGGAATGGTCCCGGCCCCGAGGCTGCCAGAGCTGCAGGAGCGTTTGGACAGCGCTCTCAGGGCTGCTCAGGGTGGGGGTGTTGGGGTGTCTGGGCAGGGACAGGGGCTGGGCTGATGATCCCTGAGGGTCCCTCCCAGCTCAGGATGTTCGAGGGTTCTTTGAAATGCTGAGGAGCTCCTTAGAGCACCCTGGGGTGCAGGACCTTGGCTTTACCTCTGGCTCTTGAACTCCTTCATGATCTCCAGGAAGCCGTTGTAGGTGGCAGGGTCACTGCCAAAGCGGATCTTCACCTGGTCCAGGTAGGACAGCGCATCCTCCACCTGCGGGGTGAGAACACGGTGGGAACAGGCCCTGGAGCCCCCACGGCTCCAGAACTGGGGCGGGGGCACCTCAAGACACCCTCAAGGGGGTGGGAACCGGCCCCGGGGGAGCCCCGCAGCAGCGGCGGAGGGCACTCGGTACCGGAGGACGGCAGGCCCCGGTGGGCTGCCCGTGCTCGGGGGTGTCAAGGCACGGAGCGGGGCACGGCACCGGGGAGCCGGGAACAGGTCCCTCGGGAGGATGACCGCGGTACCAGAGAGGAACAGCAGGGCCGGGGAGAGGGGCATGGCCCAGGCGAGGGGGGAACAGGCCCGGGGAGCCCTGGCGGCACCGGGGGAACAGGACACGGAACCGGGGGAAGGGGATGCGGCCCCAGGGGACCCCACGGAACCAGCGGAGGAGGGCGGGGATGCCCCCGGCGCGAAGGGGACGAGCCCCCGGGACACCCCCCGATACCGGCGGGTGAGGGACAAGCCCTGAGGGGCGAGTTCGGCACCGCGGCCGGGACGGGGATGGTCACGGCGGGGGCGGGCGGGGCCGTCCCGGGGGGGCGATGAGCGGCCATTCGCGTGGGCGGGGGAGGGTGGGGAAGGGGCGATGGCGGCCCCCGCACTCACGTGCACCGGCAGCTTCTCGTGCGGCGCGGCCCGGCCGCCGCCGCCGCCCCAGCGCGGGGCGCTGCCCCCGCCGGCCCCGCGGCCGCCGCCGCCCCCCGCCGCCATGTTGGAGTCGGGCGGGCGAGCGCGGCCCCGGCGGCGCGCGCGGCCGCTGCGTCAGCGCGCACGGCCCAGGCCACGCCCCCTCCGCAGCGAGACCCGCCCCCTCCGTGTCTCCGCCCTCTGATTGGCCACGCCCCGCTATAGCCACGCCCATTTACCGCCCACAGGGTGTGGTCACGCCCTCATCCGTGACAGGCCACGCCCCCAGCGCCGCTTCCGGCCGTTCGAGGGAGCGGCGCCTCTGGGAGCGCCTCAGGAGCGCCTCAGGGACCTCCGGGAGCGAGGGGGAACTGCTGGAGGAGCCCGGGGGGCTGCGGGATCCCTGGGAGTCTGCAGGAGCCGCGGGCTGAGCACTGGAACTGCCGGGGCTGGAGAAACCACGACTGGTGCTGCGGGGCTGAGGGAGCCGAGGGGTGTTGGAGGGACTCAGACGGGGTGGAGGAGCCCAGGGGTGGCTGGGGAAGGCCGGGAGGGCTGATGGGGCCTGTGAGGAGCTTGAGGAACGAGGGCTGAGGGGGCCCCAGGGGCTGGAAGAGGCAGGGAGTGTGGAGGAGCCGGGGTGAGAAGAGCCATGAGGGGGTTTGAGAGAGTCATGGGGGGGTTGGGGGAGCCGGAGGGGCTGGGGGAGGCCGGGGAGCCCCTCAATGGTGTGCCCTGAGCTCAAGGGTTGTCCTCGGAGAGCTCAGGGAGCCCCTCAATGGTGTGCCCTGAGCTCAAGGGTTGTCCTCGGAGAGCTCAGGGAGCCCCTCAATGGTGTGCCCTGAGCTCAAGGGTTGCTCTGGGGGAGCCCCTCAATGGTGTGCCCTGAGCTCAAGGTTTGCTCTGGGGTAGCAGGATAAATGTGGGCTTAAAATACGCCACTTCCCCCAGCAGTCCCTGTCAGCAGGCAATTTGAATTTAGTAAAACTGAGCTACATGAAGAGCAAAGAGGAGAGGGGGAAAAATAAGCCGTGTGGTTTGTTTTTCTTTAAAGCACTACCGATGATTTACATCATAGAAAAGTGCAGAAGACTTTCTTGCTTTGCCCTTAAGCTTGCTGCTGGTATTTGAGCTCAGAATATTTTTCTCTATGTTGTGCTGGAGTATTCCAGCTGTTTGCAGCTTCCAGGCAGGATGCCCACACACGGCCTCTGGATTTGATATTCCATCCCCTGTTCTGATACTTGCACAAACTGCTGCCCTGTGACCCATTTCCCTTCATACAGGAAGGATTTAATTAATAAAGACTTTTTCTTTCACAGTTACTGCTTTCAGCAGCCCAGACTGTGATGGATTGATTCAGTGACCCAGCATACAAGTATTTATCATCTTTGGAGAAGGAGGCACTGCAAAGGCCTTTCAGGAGAGATGTGGGCTGAAAATGGCATTAGATTGTTGTGCTGGTAAATACAGGTTGGAGATGTTTTAAGGTTTCCAGTGGTTATTCAATGCTTAAGAATAGAGATAATAAATACAGATTTTTACAGGAGTGATGCTGGAAGGGTGGTAGGAGCCAAATACATCTCCTAGGTTATGAAGCACTCATAACTGTGCAGGAAAGAGACTGGTAGATAGAAAACAGAAATTGGGCCAGTTCAGAGATATCCTCGGTGTGTTGTCAGGTGAAAGGAAATTGTTGATCCAACCTCCTGCACCACTTTTTTTTTTTCCTCCTGGATTCTCCTGAACTGGCCCAATTTCTGTTTTCTATTACTATTATTAACTTGAGAAGTCTCATCCTCTTCCCTGGTTTGTGCCGTGTGGTGACATGAGCAGAACCAGGTGCAGGTAACTCCTGTGAGTTTTGTTTTCTGCCAGAGCAGAGTTCCCACCCCTAAGCCCCTGCCAGCACCAACACCTGGCTGGTAAATCCAGCTGTAAGGATGCTCCCAAACCAGCCCTGGGTGCTGGGAAAAGCTTGTGCCTGTCATTTTGTCAGGATTTGGGTGTTCTCCTTGGGAATCCTGGGAGCTGGATGTCCATTAACCATCGACACTCAGCTCCTGGTGCCTCAGAATAGCTCAGCTCAAGTTGCTGCTGACAGAGCTCCAAGAGACCATGAGCTCCTGCCAAGCAGGAGATCTGTGACCTTCCAAAGGGAGCCCTTGTGCCCCAGGGCACTCCTGAAGGACTGAATCCCTGTGATCTCCAAGGAAATCAGGGATCTGGGTTCTGATGGTGTGCCTGGGCCTGTGGATCTGCGAGGACTAAATCATCCTGGGCTGTGGGCACCTCCTGTCTGGGACTTATCCTTCGATGTTCGGATTTTTTGCAGTCAGCTGCCTGCTCAGGGCCACAGGACTCGGAGCACAAACATCGGCTCTTTTCCCTGGGAAAGAAAACTCACCAGTCCAGGTTCCTGATGTCAGTTTGTAGGGCTCCCCTGGGACTCTCAGGGCAGCACAAGTTTGAGGTGGCAAACTGCTCCTCCTGCCTCTTGATTGCCACGTGGTTTCTGTGGCTCTGGAGGAAGGATGACATTTGTTATAAATGATAACTCAAATTTATTAATTAAAGAAAATGTATTTAATGTTCCAAATATAAATTTGGAGAATAACAACTAAAAGCCAGTATCAAAAAAGGGTCGGTGCCGAGGCGATACCCGGGTTAGACACAGGTTTGACCACTGCAGCAGAGGATGCTTCACCCCGACTGTCCTTTCTGACCGATTTTTCTTGCCCAAGGCAGAGTCCCTTTTCTTCCTGCACGTATTCATGTGGAGTTCTTTTCTCTGTGGCAAGCTGAACAATGCATGTCCGGAGAGTGATGAACACCCGTGATCGCATTCCCGGAGTTCGGCATTGAGATGTATCTCCCTGATGGCTCCGGCTCTCTCAATCTCGGCCGCGTATTTATCGCCTCAGGCCATCTTATGGATGATCCATCTCCGGGCTAGCCACGTTAATTTGATTGTAAATGAAGTCCTCCCTCCCTTGTCCAGGTTGTTTCCACATTGTGTTGCAATCCCTTTCACTGGCTTGTTTTAAAAACTTCTTATAAGAGTATATCTTAACAGTACATAATTATAAAATATACGACAATTTTATTTGCACGATTTATACACATATAACAACAGTTACATCCTGCCTGCAGCTCAGTGGGAAGACATGGGCTTGTCCCCATGAAAAGGAGCTGGCTTTGCTCAGATATTTCCAATCATCTCAGGCAGGTATGGGCAGTGTGTCACACCCTTCACCTGTGAAGCAGGAAATCTGAGAGACTGATCCTACTCTGTCTGCCCTCAGATAGGGCTCGTGGCTGGCTTCTTTACTTGGGAAATGGCTTATTATTGATATTTCAAGTTTTCACCTGTCACAATCTACAACCTTCAAAGGTTGTGGCTGCAAATTTGTGGTTCTTTCAGCCCCTTTAAGCTAAAGGCTGACAGGTACCTTTGTACCTGAGGAAGAACAGACTGTGTCCCTCATCCACAGGAGGGTGATGTGAGGACTGTTCTTTGGGATGCATATCCTGGATAATGAACCTGCCTCTGCCAGAAATCAAATTCCAGATGTGCAGCCTCTGATCCATGGCAGAAACAGCACAGGTTTCTTTTTCAAACACTTCCACACACCTCACCTCACCTAAGTAAGAGAGGGGCTCACAAAATGAGGGCTTCTCTGTGCTTTTGGGATTTAGGAGAATTCTCATGGCTGGGAGATGTCTGTGTGCCTAAAGCTCCAGGACTGCCAAGCTGTCACAGCTCTTCTCAGGCATGAAAGCAGCCTTCCAGCCTCAAAAAGTGGAGAAGGCTCAGCAGAGTTCCCAGGAAGGGCATGCAGCATCTCAAAAACTTCCATATTCCAGACAATCACGGAGTCATCCCGGGAAGCTGCCACCAGCAGCTGGCCATCAGGACCAAGTGCCATCGCTGTGACACACAGAGAGGAAGGAGAGGCTGCTCTTGCTGCCACAGACAGAAAAAGGACATTTTTGAGCTTGTTTATGTGCTGTGTTTCCCCAGCTGGAACCCCAGGTCCTGTCTGAACCCCGTGGTCTGTGCCAGGAGCAAGATTAGGTTCCTGCAGACATATCTAGGTCAGTGTGTGCTGTTGTTGTCCTGGCGACTAAATGACCCACTTTCCCCTCATTTGTGGAAGCAGCTGCCAATGGGGCCAGGGCATGGCCAGCACAAAGGCACAGCACCTTCCTCCTGCCTTTGTCTCCAAGCTGGGCTCCTACAGACACTGGGCTTTTCTCCACATTTACTGTGTTTCTTGCAGGGAAAATCCCTGATTTTGTGAGCCCCTCTCTTATTTGATAGCTGAGGTGAGGTGTGTGGAAATTTGAAAAAGGAACCTGTGCTGTTTCTGCTGCTGTGGATCACAGGCTGCACATCTGGAATTTGATTTCTGGCAGGGGCAGGTTCATTATCCAGGATATGCATCCCGAAGAACAGTCCTCACATCACCCTCCTGTGGATGAGGGACACAGGATTGTCTGTTCTTCCTCAGAAGAACACAATCAATTCTTCCTTCCTGTTTATTGTGTTTCTTGTATCTCATTCATAACAGAGGGATAATTAGAAATATTGTTGGGTTGTATCTGCCCCAGGAATGATCCTACCTTTGAGTAGAGGTGAGATCCTACACACAACCCTGTGGAGAACTCCACACAGTGGGATGAGCACAGGGTAGGGACAGACACTGCAGCAGCTCAGGCACTGCTGCCATAGCTGCCCCACGAGCTCCAGGTAAAGAGGCACCAAGGCAAGAAGCCTGGCCAACACTTCTGTGTGGATTATCCTCACCCCTGACAGGGCAGAGACACAAAAACCTTTTAGGACATGGCTCTGGTAAGCCTGTGAAAGCAGCCATAGCTGTATTTTGTGTTGTGCAATGTGAAATGAGCTGAGCTGGCCTGATCTGGTCATAGAGGGATGGCTCCAGTGTAAAACTTGGGAAATATAACAGTGTGGATTTTTCCCTGAGGAAACTTGTGCCTTCAGTTATACCCCCTGAAACTTTGTGTGTTTATTCTCTTGGTTCAGCAGAACTTTCTCCCTTTCTAGAGCCAAACAACTCAAGGGAGCCACCTGGCATTTGTGCAGGTGTCTGAGCCTCCCCTTGTGCAAGGTTTAAATCTCTGGGTGTGGATTTCTCTTTAGGGCTATCACCAAAGTGCTTCAAAGGCACTGAGCTGGGCTGGGGAGCTCTCAGGGCTCAGGAGGAGTGAGCAGAGGATTTGAGACAGAAGCAGGGAGCTGGTGCCAGCCTGCAGAGTGACACCCTGCTCTGTCCCTGCTGGTTGCTATGGCATTTTCATTTCTGCTTCTTTGCAAGGGGAATTTGTGGTTTTTCCTTAGTTACTGAGCAAACCTCAGCAGTATGGAGTCACTACTAATGTAAAATCAGTGATGTGGGAAAAATTAAGTTTGATTTTTAGACAAGTCAGAACAGCAGCAGCAGAGAATCGCAGAAGGGTTGGAAGGGACCTTAAAAGATCATCCCATTCCAACCCCCTCACACAGGCAAGGACATGCATCTCTAATTGCCAGAATTCTGCGAGAGACACTGAGATATTCAAAATCTCTTAAGGATTTCTCCTGTGAAAAACCTGGGGATTTTGGACCATGGATGACCCAGTAAACAGCTTGGTCTTTCAGGACAAGTAACCTGATGACTGCAGGTTACTTGCTGCAACATTTCAAGCCTATATTCTGCCACAGAAGGATCCCCCATGTTTCAGTAGCCTCTTTTATGCTAGAAATTCCGTGCAAATTAGTTTAGGATTAAATTACCCCTGAAGTATATCCAGTGGAATTTATACATGGAACTTTTTCCCCAGTTGAATACAGAAATGAAAAGATGCTATAAGCCCTCATCTCCAGGTGTTTGAAGGTGATGATCCACCTAAATCAAGCCACCTCAGCCTTGAAATCCAGACAACTCAATCATACAAATGCACTTGATTCAAATGTTCTAGGAAATTGGTACAGCAGTATTTGACTTTTGAGGAGATGGAAAATCTATGAGCATTTTGGGAGTATTTTTTGGTCCATCACACACATTTTGATGGCCTTTGGACAGGAGAGAAAGGAGTGAAGTGATTTCCCTCAAACATTGGGCCTGTGCCTCTGGATACACCTCCAGGAGAGCATCTCTCTCCACAGCCAGGTCTGCACGGAAGGATTTTACCTCTCAAGTCAGGAATGTGAATCACAGAATTATTACGTCGAATCCTGGAATATCCTGAGTGGGAAGGGACCCACAGGGATCTCAGAGCCCAACCCCTGGCCCTGCACAGGCACCCCAACAACCCCACCCTGTGCCTGGGAGGGTCACAGAGAGCAGCCTGGTGCTGGATGGAACCTCTTAGGACAAGGGGTGGAGGGACAGGACACAGGGAAAGGCTCCCACTGCCAGAGGGCAGGGCTGGATGGGAGATTGGGCAGGAATTGTTCCCTGGCAGGGTGGGCAGGCCCTGGCA